AACCACATGGCCCAGCGACACCTGCTGTTCTACAAAATTAAGCAAAGTAAATTGGTAACTCTGGATTTACTTAGCTAGTGATTAAATAACAGTTTAGTTAATAGGCTATTAATGGTCCCCAGGTGTTGGTAATTCTGAGTATTTGCTTTTGAGAGCAGTCCGGTACTTTAATAAAGTTTTTTTTTTTTTTTTTTTTAACAGAAAATACTGTAGTGTAACAAATGGGGTCTCAGGGACTATTTTTGGGAGGATTAAATGATATAGTGCATATTAAGCACTTAGTATAGCGTCTGACCCACAGTAAGGACTCAATATAGGTTATCTGCTATTGTTAACGGCAGTTACTAGAGACTCAACTGGTTACGTGGGTCAATATACTCCCCACGAGGTCACCACCACCTGGTGGCAGCGAGCGGTACTGCATACATTGTAAGGTAGAATCATTTAATTGCTTGAAATTAATTCCATGGAATTTCAGCTCCACCAAGTATCACAGGGACTTTGTTCAGAATGTGACTTATTTGCCTGAGAGCAGGAATTCATATTTCATTAAACAGTGAAGTGACATTTTTCACCTCCATAGTTGGCATAGAATTAAAAAAATGTTAATGGCACCAGTAAACGAAGTAGGGAAACAGAAGTGCTCATGTGCTATTAGTAGGAATGTGAATTGGTACACCATTTCTGGAGGACAGATGGTGATGTAACAGAAGTCTTAAGTGTTTTCGTCTTTTGTGGCAACCATTCCTTTTCTAGGAATTTATCTTGAAGAAGTAAAGTTAGAAAAAAAATCTATTTAGAAAGAAAAAGTATATAAATAAATAAATACATAAAAATAGCATTGCCTATATTGGAAAAACATAGGGAACAATTCCTTTTTCATTTGCGAATGATAGCAATGATTTTTTTTTAAAGATTTTATTTATTTGTCAGAGAGAGAGAGACAGAGAGCACAGCAGAGGGAGCGACAGAGGGAGAAGCAGGCTCCCCGCAGAGCAGGGAGCCCGATGCGGGACTCGATCCCAGGACCCTGGGATCATGACCTGAGCCGAAGGCAGACG